CAAACTCAAAGCGTTCAGCAGGACGTCCACTTACGCTACAAAAAGACAAATTGAAAGACAACTTGAAACGTCTCAAATTTGATCTGAAAACCTGGGAAGCCCAAGAATCAAACCGAAAGGAATGGTGTAAGACATGTTTCATTAAGTTAAAGGGTTTTGAAGACAGTAGACCAAAAAGTACCGTGATCAGCTTTTTGTCAAACTCTGAAGCAGAGATGCTATCAAAATCCTGTTTAACTTAATTTCATCTGTCAGTGGGTTTTATCGCCTGCAGCAAAAGTGGGCTAGTATCACTTAAGAAAGCACAAATGAAATATGACTTTCTTACCTGATTTTTCCCCACATTAGCCCCTGCTAGAATGCCTAATTGTAAAAACAAAAGGCACCATCCAATACTGGACCCTCATTTATCGCTCACGAGATAGAGAGTCCACTATATATATATATATATATATATATATATATATATACAGAAAATTCGCTCTGCAAAAGAATTATTGTCAAAAATGTTAATAAATTGATGTTTTTAAATTTGACCACAATTTATGGCTGGCCATTCTTTTTTTCCAAGCATGCCTGGCTAATCCCTGTTGTAGATGCTTTTCGTCAGGCACATTTGTGTTTGGTCCAACACCATAGACCCAACCTGTAGTATATACTGCAATTATACTGAGCGGAGCTTAGTTACGGACTCCCCAGAGAGTACAAATGAGATGATCATGTTTGAACAAGGCCAATACATTAAAAGCCTCGGTCACGATGATTTATGAATTTGTGCTAGCACAATCATTCCGAACAGTTTCATCATCTCCAATTTATGTTTTTAGGTATCCCTGGAACGGTCTGCACGTATCCCCAGGATGATATTATTATTTAAGATTCACCCCTTGACAAATGATTCCTGTTAAGACCCGCCTCAGTTCGTAGGGTCAATGCTAACACTAAATCACAATTATTGAATGTTTATTTACTGCATTAATATTTACTATGATTAATGACTATGCCACCATGGGTGAATCGTGCCATTGACTGGTACCATTCCAACGCAATCTCATCAAATTTTATATATATATATATATATATATATATATATATATATATAAATGAAAATATATAGAAAATAGGAAGGAACTGGTTAGGGTTAAATAATCCAAAGTCCATTAGTATTTTAGTTATTATTTTTAAAATAGTGCTCGATATAAAGTAGAGCATAAATATAATTATTTATTTAAAATTTATTTACTTCATGTCGCGATTTGGAAACTTTACAAAAAACAGAGGAATTAATTAGAAGGATGAGATGGAAGGCATACTTCTACTTCGTGGGAATAACTCAACCGATAAAGAAAGCGAAGTTCACGGCTTTAAAAGCAAAAAAAAGTTGCACCATTCAACAAAACAGCTATACGAATTTGAAAAAGACCTACTAACATTATCAACAACATCTTTTCAAAAAGAAAATCCACTTCCAAAAAATTTCCAGACCAAATAGTTAAAAGCATTAATGAATGACAAAATATTAGTTAAGTCTGACAAACCGGCAACTTTCGCCAAATTGATTCGTCGATGACTACAACAACTTAATTAGAAAAACTTAAACTTGAGGACTTATAAAAAAGCTTGCATCAACAATATCAATATGGTCGATAGCATAAACAGAACCAGTAAAAAATAACTGATAAATTAAAAATCAGCGATAGAGCAGGTAAACTGTTGAAAAGGAATGTTACATAACTCTCAAGGACCATAAGCCTGACTTTTTAGAAAACCCAGCAACTAGAATAATTAACCCACCCGACCCGGACATAGAAAGATCAGCAAAAGATCCTGAAAAAATTACCAAATAAAAAACAACTGAATTAAAATTATGATCAATACTAAAGATGTCATCAATTGGTTTTAACTATATTGATGATAAACCAATTGCAATCTTAATACAGTTCGATATCGAATACTACCCATCAATTTCGAAGGATCTATTTTAGATCGCTCTGGACTTTGCTGCTGTGTATTCTAACCTGACAAAGGAAGAAACAGATATAATCCTCAGCGCAAAGAAATCGGTTCTCATTCATATCGACCAATGACAAAAAACAATAACGTAGACCTGTTTGACATCACTATGGGATCATTAGACTCTGCAGAGTCTTCTGACCTGTTTTGTCTCTGATACTGTACAAACATAACGGCACACCGCGAAATTGATATTGGCGAGATTTGACTGTAGAGATGACGTGGCTCATGGTGGTGAGGAGTTCTACTAGTTTTAAGATTGAAAAATCAGAAAATTATATTTAGTGAATTTAAAAATCTAAACTTAAAGATAATTGTTCTTCTAATTTGTGCGGTAAACCGACGTAACTCTAGACTTACCTGGCAACACATACCAACCTTTATAGCAAACCCATCTAACCTTTATATATACACCAAAGTCAAACCACCCTCCATCCATAATTAAACATATACCTCATCAATAGAAAATAGAATTAGCATTAACTCC